GTATTACACACGGGTTATTGATAATTAGATTTTTATGCTCTTTAAGATTAAAAAAATGATCATCGTATTATACTTGAGATCGTATTATACATGAATGAATACGGTAATCAAATCTCAACATCTTGAATAAATTTTAAATGATTTTTTTTTGTTTTTGTGTTATTTCCCTCTTCGCTTTTAAATGTGACTTGTTTTTAAATTTATTATGAATTTTCATTTTAAATTGCACTACATTTCAGCTCTTTAAATATGCCATAAACGGTAGGCGGTGTATGTTGTTATGCACGTTAACTGTAATTCTTTTGAATTCTTTCCATCAACCTGCTAGGGGACTACAGATGAAAATGAGCTCTTTTGGCTAAATCTGGCATATTTATTACGCATTCATGCTGATTAATATGCATTGTCCCTTTTATGAAATAAATTCTAATTCAGTTATGACAACACCATCAGGTGCTTGTAATGACACAGTAAGTAAAAACTGTTAAAAACCCTTTGTGGCTTGGAAAGCTCAAGACAACTCTAGTTTACAAAGCTAATGGTGCAGAGCACACTGTGCGTTTGGCAGATCAATCAAAACTTATTGCTGCATCTCCACAATGCCACTGGTCCCTTCGTGCTCGTGAGGGTTTTCACAGCAGAGACTGTAAGTAGAATTAGGAAGAATTCTTCTGACATTTCACAGAACAAACCTCTTGAAAGGCGTGACATTTTTCTGCTCACGTTCCGTCCCTTTTCTTCATCTTTAACGGCGAAGTTGTCGTGATTCAGGGTTTGAGGCGCAGCTATTAGTCTTCATTGATTCCTTTCGTTTTCAGAACGTAGACGATCCAGGTTGTCTGATGGAGATCCAGGGGACCCGCAGCGGCGGTGCAAATCTGCTCTTAAGTGAAACACTTGAGCGCTGCCTTTTTCAGCTGCCAATGGCTGTGTTCTGCTAAGCAGAGGCTTATAAGACTCTTTGCCTGGATGACAGAGCAGGCCAGCTGGTGGGAACACAAACCACTGGGCACTAGGCCATGGTTATCACTCATCCTCTCATTTCCATGGCAAGTGATTTATGCTTCTTTGCACGTGAGATGATTACTACGTTCAGATTTATAACTACTCAGACTGCCTTCCTGTTTAATAGTAGTCTAGCTCAATGYTTCCCAAAGTTGGGGTCGGGACCCAAAGTGGGGTCCCGAAACATCAAGGTGGGGTCCTGAAAAGATTTTCGGGATTAATCACATTTTTGCCTTAGTTGTTACAAAGGAGTGAGGTTAGTGTATTTAAAATGGATAAATGTAGTATAAAAATATTGCTACTATGCCCATGTTTTGTTGACCTGATACAAATGCTAATCATCCAAAAATATTTGGGGGCACAGGTCTCTGCTACAGTTATTTTGTGGGTCAAAAGCTGAGAAGTTTGGGAACCACTGCACTTTGGTTCCCAAAGTTGAGCTTGGGACCAATTTATGGGTCATGAAGCACCTTGGATAATCTCCAGAAATCAATTTAAAGGGTAATAAAATAATTGCTGATGAAATATTTCCCCTATAACTATTCCAAAAACACAAAAAAGTATAAATAAGTATTTGTATTTGTGTACAAGCTGTTTAGATTGTCAAAAAGCCTGTGTTTTAGGGTTATTAGCAAAGTTCATGTACTCAGACCAGTAATATTTGGGGTCACAAGTTTTTTTTTTTTTTTTTTTTTTTTTTTTTTTTTTTTTTTTTT